GGGCGGGCGGGCGGCAGGAGGGCGGTCAGCCAGCTTGTGCGAGAGAGAGAGAGAGAGAGAGAGAGAGAGAGAGAGAGAGAGAGAGAGTGTGTGTGTGTGTGTGTGTGTGTGCAAGGGGCGGAGCGCCCAGATGCCAGGCAGGTACCTACTCCGCATCACCACACACTCCCCTGCACCCCGCACAGTACCCTCCCCCCCCCCCCCCCACAGTACCCACCCACCTGTACCGCATTGAAGTCCAAGTCAGCGGAGTTGGAGCCCGAGGGGACGGAGGAGGCGGCGCCGCCGCCCATGCCGATGCGGTAGGCGGGGCCGCCGATCTTCACCACAAGCATGCCGATCTGTGTGGTGGTGGGGGGCGCAGGGCGGCGCACGTGTGCGCGTGAGCGAGTGTCGCTGTGTGTGTGTTGTGTGTGTGTGTGTGGTATGGGGGTGGGGTGGGTGGGGGTCCAGGTGGGAGGATGCAGGAGGGGGCGGCATTGCGCTGCAGACACACAAGCCCGCTGGCCCACACAGCAGCTGGCCCCAGCAGCCTGCTGGCCAGCAGCCGGCGAGCCCCCACAGCCAGCCAGCCAGCCAGCCAGCCGCTCAGGCAGCCAGCCGCCCCCACACGCAGCCTGCCAGGCAGCCGGCCACAAGCACATACAACACACGCCCCCCCCCCCACCCACCCACCCACCTCTGGGTCGTTCTTGTACAGGTGGGCGTGGTCGATCTGGCCAAGGCCGCCGCTGCAGGGCAGGAAAGGGGGTGTGGGGTGGGGAGCAGGCAGGCAGGCGAGGGCGCAGGCGGGGTCAGAGGGGGGCCAGGCAGGACAGGGAGACGGGCAGGCAGGCAGGAGGGCAGCAGCGGCCCTGGCGCAGGGCAGTGGAGGCCGGGTCAGCCGGGAAGGCGCTCCGGGAACTGCCTCTCGCTCCCTGGGGACCGGCCCCCACATCAGCACGGCCACCCGCTTTGTGCCACCAACCCTGGCTGCGGCCCGCCACCACCTCGACCACCGCCTGCCGCCTGCCGCCGCCCACCTGAACATGATGGGCTTGATCCACTCCCGCCGCTCCCCGCCCGCCAGCCGCTGCCCAAAGGTGCGCGTGTAGCCGCAGACGAGCGGCTCCCCAAACTTGTTGCCGTAGTCGGAGGCGCCGTTGGAGGCGTCCACCTGGCGGGGGCGGGGAGGAAAGCGCGGCGGCGGGGGGAGGAAAGCAAGGTGAGGAGGAGCGAGGACAGGCAGCGGCACGCAGAGGAGCGGGCGGGTGCCTCGATGCCGCGGGCCCGCCGCCGCACCGCCCCGCCGCAGCACCCAGCAACCGCAGGGCAGGCGCAGCGCCTCCCTCCACACGCATGCGCACGGTACCGCCGCCGTCCCGCGCGTGCCAGGCGCGGGCTCACCAGGATCTGGAGGGGTGGCGCCAGCGAGGCGGGATACTCAAAGGAGGGGTCCTCCCAGGGCTGTTCATACCTGCGGGACGCACGGGGTGGGCAGCTGGGCATGCATGCAGTGCATGCTGGGTGCGCTGTGCATGCTGCGGGGAGGCCTGGCGCCGCCGCGCGCCGCGCGCGCCGCCTCCCTCCCTCGCGCGCAAGCCGCCTGCCGCCGCCGCCGCCCCTCCCCAGCACCATCCCCCTCGTGCAATCACGTGCCTCTCCCTCTCTGACAGCCACACACACACACACACACACCGCCATAGCCACACACACACTCACACACAGCCACAGCCACACACACACATGCAAGCCTACATTAACACCCGACATTAACACCCGACACACACACACTCACATCAAATGCCCAACACCCACCCCCACACCACACCCCCGCACCCCACCCACTCACCCCTCCATGCGCAGGTTGCCCACGCAGTATCCCGCGCTGGCGGCGCCCATCATGGAGCCGATGCCGGTGGCATGGGTATCGCGGATGCGCCCCCCCGCCCCCGTCTCGGCGCCCGGGTAGGGCGCCACGGCGCACGGGAAGTTGTGGGTCTCAGCCGTGAGCAGCACGTCCCAGTCGCGGGGCTGCAGGGTGTGTGGTGGGGATGTGTGTGTGTGTGTGTGTGTGTGTGTGTGTGTGTGTGTGAGAGAGAGAGAGAGACAGAGAGAGTGGATTGGTTCTGGGGCTAGGTGGCAAGCAGGCGGGAGGGGAGGGGGGCAGGGGCGGACAGGTGGCGTGCAACCCACGAGACCCAGCCGCGGCGCCCACCACCCGCCCGCCCGCCCGCCCGCCCGCCAGCCGGCAGCCAGCCAGCCAGCCAGCCGGCCGCCGGCCAGCCAGCCTCCCGGCAGCAGCCCACCTGCGGCGCCAGCGGGGCGGGCCCGCCGGGCGTGGCGGGCAGCAGCGGGGTGACGGCGCCGCCGCGGATGGCGGACGAGTTGTCCTTGAAGCCGATCACGCTGTTGCCCTTGTTGGCCTCCAGCGTGGACTTGACTAATGTCCATCAGATTTTCGGGCATTGCTGCCCATCCACCCACAGGTCGCCCTTGAAGAACCAGTGCATGCGGTGGGTGTGCGCCATTGGGCACGGCGGGGTGGAAAGGAGGGGGGCGTTGACCGCCGGTCAAACGCCGGCGCGCGACCGGCCACGGGCCTGCTGCGGCGGCGAAGCCCGGCGCGCGGCCAGCCTGCCGGTGCTGGAGCTGCGGCAGCGCCTTCAAGCACCCACCCCCAGCACATGCCTGATACCACAAGCAGCACCCACCGCCAGCACCCGCCTGGCACCAGCACCACCAGCACACAGCAGCCACCTGCACCCAGCACCCACCTGCTGTGCTCTGAGTTGGACTGGGCGATGTCAAAGAGCTCCACGTTGGTGGGGTCCCGCCCCAGCTCGTCCCTGCACGCCAGGGCGGGCAGGAGGGGCGGGAGGGAGGGGAGGGAAGGGTTCGGGAGTCGGGAGGAGGGGCGGGGGGAGGGAGGAGGAGGCGGCAGGGGTGCCGGCCCCGGGTCCGGTCAACACGCACACCGGCAAACAACCAACCAGGCCCCCCAGCTCGTGGCCCCAGCGGGCACCCCCGAATGCCGACCACACCCTACGTTCCCCCGGCACACCCCCCAACTCCCCCTCCACATTCACACACACACACACACACCTGAACATCTGTGTGTAGTAGTCCAGGTCCCACTCGTCAAAGGCCAGACCCATCTCCTGCGGGGCAGGGCAGGAGGGGAGGAGGGGAGGGGTGGGGAGGAGGGCAGGGTGGAGGCAGGCGGCGGGTCGGGGGCCGGCGGGCAAGCGGCGAAGCGCCCCGCTCCGCACTGGCTCACAGGCGGGGGGCGCAGGGGGGGGGGGACGGCCCAGCCAGCCGCCCCCACACACACGGTCACACCCTCTTGTCCTGTTTGCAGCAAACAGCTCGGCACCCACAGCCGCCCCCTCCACCCACCCACACCGACAGCACACACCGACAGCACACACCGACAGCACACACCGACAGCCACACCACACCACAACCACAGCCACAGCCACTCACACAGGCAGCCACACCACACCACAACCACAGACCCCCCCCCCCCCCACTTTTAAACACACACACGCGGCCTTTTACACACACCACCCCACCCCACCGCAA